TCGTTTAGGGGAAAAACCAAGAGGCCGCCTACCCGCCACGCCACTAAAGGCGTGCACGGTTGGTGTTGGTGAGACACCGCGGCGGTTGTATTTTTTTGTTTTCTCCCACCACGCGCACTAAAGGCATGCTTGGGGTTTTAAAAAGCATTTTTGAAAAGCAAAGTTTTGATTTCCCCCCGCCCGGGGGTACTTATAAGCGACCCCGCTTCGCCGTACGTGCCGCACCGGGGTCCCATCCCACCACGCGCACTAAAGGCGTGTGTTGACGAATATTTTCGCATCGACTCGACCCCGATCGACCCCGACGAAGCTCGATCGCGCTCGATCAACTCAATCGATCATCGTCGAGGTGAAATTAATCCGAATTAAGCCTCAATGTAATTAAATTAAACCCAATTTAATATAATTAAAATCAAATCAATCAAATCAAAATCAATCAAACCCCGTCGAGTGTCGGCGAGTTCAATGCGACGCAATTTGACACTTTTCGGCTTCGATCCGAGCCCAATTTCGTAAAATTGGCTCGATCTGACCCATTTCGGTCCGAATCGACTCTAATCGATTCAAATTGGGTCCAATGCGAACCCAATTTTAGCCCAATTCATCAAATCTTAGCTCAATTCAAATCTCAAATCAAGATTTGAATCAAACGGCTTAGATTTCCTCTAAAATCCCGCTCTGTTTTCCGTCAAATCGTCTAGTTTCAGCGGCTACGGCAGAGGATCCACTCGAGTGCGATCTTTTCGCGTGTAGAAGGAGCGGGAGAGATAGAGGAGACGGGCATTCGACTCCTTGGTGGCTTTTCGTTCGTCCCGGTCCCGACAGAGAGAGCGAGAGATAGAGAGCGGTAGAGAGCGAGAGATCCAGAGAGCTAAAAGCCCAGTCCAGGCGGAACTCCTCTCCGCGTCCAAGGCTCTTTCGCGCGACCGTTTCCCCCTGTCCCGCGACTACCTCACGAGCAGGCGTCCCTCTTGCGTGCGGGAGTCCCGTTCGGCCCCTCTCTCGGGTGCGACAGCTCCGTCCGAGCTCATCCAGGGCTTCGGCCGGACCTACCAGGAGGTCCGGCTCTTTCCTTCGCCGGACCTGCGCGACCCGACCACCTCGGGTCTGTTTCGACCGACGCAAGGAAGGCTTTACATTTGCTGCAGTAGCTTCTCCACCTTCCTTCCTCGACTCCGGCGAGCTCGTAGTGGTCAAGAAAGCTGTTGGAGACTTCCAAACAGCAAAGGAGGGCTTCCAAATCTTCCAAACAACGATTTGGAGCCTTCAAATCGCTTTGGACAGCAGCGGCGAGTTCCGGAGCACCTTGGACAACGACTTTGGAGCTTGGATCGCAGCTTGGAGCGACTTTGGATCTTGGAGCGAACCTTGGACAGCAGCTTGGACAGAAAATCGGAGCGCTTGGACAAACCGGGTGTGGTAAAATCCTTAAAACTTAGGCAAAACCCTATGCAATGTGGTTGACGATCCCAAGCTTTAGGTCCTTAGAAACTTTAATTTTTGGTCCCCAACAACCTTTATGTTGGCTGTCCACTTCGCAAAGGCTATGGAAATTAGGCGATTTCCATTAGTTGACTCTTATGTTAGAGTTCGGAGAGGATTTTGACACGCGTAGAGGCGTCGGGTTGTTATCCGACATCTCTCAAATGTATGTTATGCATCATATTAAGCTTAACACCTTCGCCTACATACAAACTTTAGGGCATGTTACTTTTCGTAGCCAAATTGAGTGTGTAGCTTGCATATCCACTCAAATCTCACATTGTGTACATGTACTTATACAACACTAGTGTCATGCGCGAAGTAAATACATGATTTAGGAATTTGGTAGAGCTTGTGAAGTTTGTCATAAGCCCTATAACATATTCAAAATATTTGTGATAACTTGGTGTAGGATTTAATGTGGACCTCAAAGTCTCATTTCAAAAAAATCCTAGAACAAGTGTATTTGAGTAACCTATCTTTTGGATGTGTTGTATAGCTTGTGATAAAAAAAGTTTATGGCTAGTTACTTTTGTTATGCAAGTCTTTCAAAGCTTGGGAAACTCATCATTATGCCCTTAATGAATCAAATCATAACAAAAGTGATTTGATCCCTTAAGATTTTCAAATGCATGTTTCCCACTCCATTGATATTCAAGCCATATGTTATGTATTTATTGCTTAGATTAATGAGTCTATTAGTTTGCAAACTTTCATATTAAGGGATTATTTAAGCTCATTTTTCTTAATTTGCAAGATAATATGGCTAAATACAAGCTCTCAAATTTCCGAATCATATTAGGTACGATTTAGGGAAAACCACCTTCTCGTAGAGCTTTGATAATATTATAGGTTGTCTTCCAAATTCAAATTGTAGGACCAATCTTTCTACCCAAATCATGCCAAAATTGATTTGGAAATCTTTTCATTGAGTTGGAAGCTCTCTAGTAGTCTTCCCTTCCTCATGTATGAAATTTGGAACATCTCAAAGCATCCATTTTCCTTTGCATGAACAAGTCTTAACCTAGGATCCCAAAAATCCTAAGTTCAACTCTCTTTGCTTGTAGATACAAATTCTACAAGCATTCACCTATCTCTCCAAATGCATGGTGATTGGAACCTTCCCAAAGCCCCAAACATATATCATTGTATGACTTTTGGAGCACCCTCAATGCTCCAAATGTTTTATTATTTGACTCCTAGCATATCTTAGGAGTTATCATCAACCTTTGTCATGCCTTGCATTATGAATTTCGTTAAAAATCCTTAATGCATAATGTTACAAGCTTTAGAAACTTGGAGCCTTAATCTAAGTTTTCTTACATCTCTTGTTGGAATCCCAAAACCAACAAGTATCCTCTCATGTGAGGTGAATTGAAGCCCCTCAAGTCTTCAAGTGTACCCACATGAATCTTTGTAGTTTGGAATCAAACTCTAAACTATCAACCCTTGTGTTGGAACATAAAACCGACCAACCCTTTTTTTCTCTTTCATTTGTCCATTCATAAAGTTGACAAATGAATCCCCTCTCTCATGCACGGTAATTTGGAGCACCACAAAGCTCCATTTTTCCATCGCATGAATGTCCTTCATGCTTAATAGTTGGGGTGTCCTTTAAGTCCCAATTATTTTAGTCCATGAATCAAAGTTTTAGGAAACAAATCCTAAAGTCTCCACTCCGTTTGCTAATAATACAAAATTGGCATACAAGCACTCCTCTCATATATGATGATTTGGAACTCTCAAAGTTCCAAACTATCATTGTATGAAAGTCTTGTAGCTTAGGACCAAAAATTTAAGCTACCCTTTTCTTTCATCTTGAGACACAAAAAGTCGAGGAAAGAATTTTCTTTTAGGCTTAGAATTCTAAATCTAGCCTACCTTATTTGCCTAACTTAGCATAAGAAGAAGGCCTTGCATCATTGAGCACAAAAACTCGATGATTTGTCTCTTGATTTGTAGTTCCAAACTATAAATCTTCTCTTTTTGCATAACACTTGGAGCTTCCCTAAAGCTCCAAAGATGTTGCAAGAATCATTAGAAGCTTGGAGCCAAATTCCAAGTAATTCACTTCTCTCATTTGTTGAGACAAAAAAATCAACAACCCAACATCATTTCTTCTTTTATGTCTACCAACTTGAAGCTTTCCAAAACTTCCATCTACTGTCACATGAGATCCTTGAGCTTAGAACCAATTTCTAAGTTCTTCCTTTTCGTTTGTTTAAACATGAAGCTAACAAACGAATATCTCATTTGGACTTGGGATCTAAATCTTAGTCTACCTTATCCTTTCACTTAATTTGAATTAAGTGAATGGAGAAATTTATCAGAACACCAAAAGTTCAAATGATCTCTTTCAATCTTGCAACATCTAGGTTGCATTACCTCTCTCTCACATTTCACAAATCCAAATTGTAGGAGACCTGCTTATTCTTCCAAGACTCCAAGCTAGAAGAATGCATACCTCCCTTCGAGCTCTTTGAACATCATTATGTTCAAAGGGATTTTTGCAAAACTTAGAGCCAAAGTCTAAGTTTTCTCTCTACATTTGTTGGCCCAAAACCAACAATTTTTCTTTTGCTAGTAGCCTTCAAAGCCCATATAGAGGTGCCCAAATGACCTTTAGAGGGGCCTAAAAGGATACATGCAAAACTTAGAACCAAAATCTAAGTTTTCTCTCTACATTTGTTGGAAACACAAAACCAACAATGTTTCATTTGTTAGTAACCTTCAAAGCCCATATAGAGGTGCCCAAATGACCTCTAGAGGGGCCTAAAAAGTTACAAACAAATTCAGAGTTGCGGTCTGAATTCCTTCATTTTCTTTATTGGAGCATAAGGCAACAAATGTCTTCTTTGCTAATGGTCTTTAAAGCCTATGTAGGGATTCTCAAACGATCTCTAGAAAGGCTCAAAAGAATATAAGCAAAGCCTTTGGGATTTGACTCCTAGGAATACTCCACCATTCGCTTAATTTGAATTAAGTGAATGTTTACCTCTTTCTTTGGACATCGGATATTTAAAGAAACTTGCCCATTCACTTAATATAAAAATAAGTGAATGGTTACTTCTCTTTGAATACAAAATGTTCAAAGAACAATCATGGGATTTTACAACTTTCAAATGTCTTCCCCCTTTAACCTCAAAATTGTATGGAGTTTATCAGTTATTTATTCATTGTAACACAAACATCAATGAATAATTTCTGAACCTAGAATCTAATTCTAAGTTCTTTTAATTTCACTTGTTGGAGCACAAAACTAACAAGTAAAATTTCCCCTGGACATAGGACCCAAATTTTAATCTATTCCATCCACTTAATCAAAATTAAGTAGATGACCTTTTCTCTTTGAACACCAAAAGTTCAAAGAGATCCTTCCAAATTTGCAACATGTAGATTGCATAATTCCCTA